GCTGCGCGCTCGGGCTGCGGAAGCCGCCGGGAATCGCCGCCCCGAGGGAGAAGTGGGATCGGGACCCCGACGGAGCGGTGTCCGGGAGCTGCCGCCCGGCCCTCTAGAGAAGCCTAGAAGCGACGGTTTTTATGGAGCTGGAAGTCCAGACTGCGGAGTAAAACTTTGCAGTTTCTCTCGGCGATTCCCACATGCAAGTTGATAACGTGAGACCAGCTGCTTTTCTTATTGCTGCTGCTGCTGCTACCTCGAGCGCTGAGGGGCCAGCGCTCTCCTCCCCCACCTGCTGCTGTTTCCTTGGACCGGCCCTAGAGCTGCTCAGTACCTTGCCATGTGGGGCTAGGAGAGGTGCAGCGATTCTCCACAGCGTGAAGCGGTAAACATGGAGGCGGCGTGCAAACCCGACAGCGGGGAGCAGAGTCATCAAAGCAGCGGCATGGACGCCCCTGGGGACGCTTCTATGGACTGCTACTTGCGATCTCAGGGCTTGTACAGAAAGAGAGTTGCCAAGGATGGATCTTGTCTTTTCAGGGCTGTGGCCGAGCAGGTAACTGTTTACATAAACAAAGCGACTTCGCATGAAAGCATGGGAAGTGGATCTCATTAATGGGTGATAATTAGTGTTAAAATGCAGACAAGTATAGGTTAAGGTTACACAGTCGTGTGCCAGGGGGAAGAAAAAAAATTTCTATCTCGCGGGGTGAGAAAACTTCTGTGTGTACAGCCGCCTTCTGTCATCAAGAAATTGTTACCTGTTTTGACCTTCCAGTGCCTCCTCAGAGCTTTTTTCAGTGTAACATTTCAGCATTGGGTACAACTGCTTTGTATGAGACTATTTAGGAAAGGGAATTTAGTGGAAAGAGCTGAAAAGCCTTGTTCTTAGTTTTGTTATTTAGTTTACTATAAAAGTAGAGAAAGTGAGTAATTTATTTTCAGTTCTTCCTGTTGAATTCCCCTCCCCCATTTCAGTGTTACTGTTAAAGGAAAAAAGTGACAGCGTCATCTTGTCTTAAATACAAACAAACAGCAGTGGGAGCTCTGGTGCTTCTGGTTGTGGGAGCCCAGGTTCCTGTGCTACTTATACACAGTTCACTTTTTTTTTTAAATTACTTTCCCCACTGAATTTACAGGTTCAGGCAAGCAAACACTATTAATCTGAAGTGGGTAGGTTTTTTTTATTTCAAGGAAATAATCAATGAATATACATTGATATTCTGATGTTTTTAATTGATATATATAGAAGGTTTCTCCCACACTCTGGTGTATATAGAACTTTTTTCAACTATTAATTAAATTTTTAACATTCTATTCTTATTTTATTAAAGGGAGGGTCTTTAATTCAAAGTTAGTAAGTGTTTATCCACAAATTTGGCCTAATCTCTGTACTCTTCATGCAGAAAAACTGAATTGATCTGAATTTGTAAGTGTTTTAAATTGAGGGTAGTGTGTAAGGATTGACTGGAACTTCCCTACGTTGTGAGGATCCAGACAAAGTCACATTAGAGATAACTCTGAACCTATGATGAAAGTAATATTTTTCCAGTAGAAATTTGAACAGGAGGTAGAATGCAGGTGTCATATTGGGTTCTGAATTCCTGGTTTCCAAATCAGTATTTGGGCAACAGACCTACACCTCTTAAAGTCAAAAGAAAGTAACCCTGCACTCTCTTAGATTTGGTTGGATTTCATTTGAACAAGTGCATGTTGGTAGTTGATTTCCTCATCCACATCCAACTGAAGAAGTAACTTACTTCTTCAATTAATTGAAGTCCTTTACAAAGGAGTCGGTTAAAGAATGACAACAAATGCTATTCCTTCACTCAGTAAATCCTCATAAAACTGAACATTTGAATTTAGTAAACTTGTGAATTCTGCAGTTCTTGATTTTTGATTAAGTAATTGAGGTGTCACCTGCATAAAGATGTTACTGAATGAATATGCATTTTAAATTTTCTTAAAAATAAAACTAGAGTATTTCCAAGCCTGTATTTAGGCAACAGTCATTAATTATTTGTGATGTGTCATCAAAACTCCTAAGAACCAGTGTCACTTTCTTCTGTTTCTCCCTTTGTAGGTGTTACACTCTCAGTCTCGGCATATTGATGTTAGGATGGCTTGTGTAGACTATCTTCGGAAAAATAGGGAGAAATTTGAAGCAGTAAGTATTCTTGTTTTCTTTGTGAGCATTTAAAAAAAAATGTTACTTTATTCCTTCCACTTTTCTAAGGTATATTCTGCTGTTTGTGACAGTATTCATCATAGCTATATACTAGTTGATGCTTTTAAAGTGAGTGCTCTTTAAATTAATTGGCACATGTGTGGTGGTAACTCATTTTCTTAAGCCTGGAGAAAGACCTGTATACTGCTTGGACTGGAGGGATGTAGGGTGGGAAGAGTTTTTAATGCTCCCAAAAAAACAAAACAAACTTTCTTAAACTTTAGTAGTCTGTAGTGGAGTTACCAGAATCTGGATTTTATTTTAGTAAAATGCCTATTTTAATAAAGGTCATAAAATGTTCTTGCTGTGCTATTTAATTGCTTTTACAATATATGAGGGATTTGACTGATGAGATTAGTGAAATTTGTTTCAGGGTCTACAATTTATTATGCATTGACACTGTGGGTTTTTTTTTTCCTAAAGATCTGTAATGAAGTTCTCCATCAACGATGGACATAAAATACTTTGATATTGATCTTGATATTTGGTCAATGTCATCATTGTTAACATTATAAAATCCTTTTTTTCTTCCTTTTAAAAGAACAATAGTAAAATTGGCACTCCTGTTTGTGTTTGTATGTGTTCTAGTGTATATACCATTTAACTAATTTCCAGGATAGCCAAAACAGGAGTATGTGTAAGCAAGTGTTACTGGAGGATTATTACTCAGCTCCCTTTTTCTGTTCTAAATTTACCTGGACCCAAAATAAAAAGCCTTTTTTAGGTGCACATTAGCATAGGGAAGAGGGGGAAAGCAGGAATAAGAGTGTGTGTATTTGCTGTGATTTCTGACAAAGTGCCCTGTGCTCAAATGTGACAGGTCACTGTTAATGTGGAAGTTGTCAAGAATGAATGACATAGAATACAGTGAATCTCTCTGGGAGAATGCAGCTCTGACGTCACTATTTCCATTTGCCAGGACTGTTTGTTTGTTTCCAGTCCATCTCAGGACTTAGCAACTCTTAGATCTTTGTTATGTTATTTTATTTTATTTTTTCACTGCTGACTTTTTAATCCCTTTCTTTCCAGAATTACCCCACTCATGCCAATATGTGCTTCTCTACTTCTGTTTTCTTGTTGCATTGTGTAGTTTTTGGAAATACCATGACCCTTCTTGACTCTAAATGTGTGTTGTTTCCCCTCCCCAGTTCTGGCATCTCCTTAGCCAGGTAGCTGCTTTGTCAACCCTAGCTGGTTTTACTATCTTGGTCTCGTCCTCCAAACTCCCAGTCTCATTGTTCTCTTTTTCCTCAGACTTGGTCCAAGTGATATGACCTCTCCTCCATCAATCTTTGCTGTCCTTCTGAAAAGTCTCTTTTTTAAAAGTTTCTAGTAATTTTTCAGAATAGGTGTTTCATGTACAAGGTTGAGGTGTTTCATATCTTGTTCTCATTTCCTGGTGTTCCTACTCCCTCAGGTGCCTCACTTCAGCTCTGCTGATCTCCTTTGCTCCCCATATCTCTCACTATACTTTGTTTTCCATCTGGAATATAGCATTGTTAACTTATCTCTCTTAAAAACAAACAAACAACCAAACACAAACAAATACCTCTTTTCCTGATCTCTTAGTTCAACTATTTACTCATCTGCCTTCTTAGTAATTGTGCTCTATTGACATGTACTGGTGGTACTCATTGAAGTTCGTCTTCTCTCTGTTTATTGTAACCATTTCAGCTTGGATTTCTGTCCCTGTCATTCCACTGATACTGCTGTAACCAAAGTTTCAGGTGACTGTGTGTAACCACCACCTTCATCTTCATCCTCATCTTTTCTTGAAGGTGTTATCTTTGATAGCTGCTGTCTTATATTCATTCTTTTTTTTTAACTCTTCAGTATGAGAACTTTCTGGTGCCCTTCGTTTCTTCCTCAGTGCATTATCTTTAGCTCATTTAATTTTGACACACAAAACAACTGCTGCTTATGATCATGTTTTACTGATCCACCTTTTAACTTCATACCTGATTGCTTCTGTCTAAATTAAAAATTTTGGCCAGACTTTTTGATTCTTCTCATGAACAAAACTGTCCAGCCAGGTTCAAAATGGCTAAAGCAGAACTTTCAATCTCACTACTCTGCTCAGTTTTCCTTATTAGCTTGTTTCTTAATCACTAGGGGTAAAGAGGCCATCCAGCTTGCAGCTTAAGTTCATAATGGAAATTGCTTCTTTGTTTGGACCTCTGTGGATCTTTATTTTAACTAAATCAAGCAGATTGTGTCTAAATAGCATTTTTTAAATACAGCCTCTTTGTTGGCCAGCATGGCTGAAACACTTTGAAGTTAACATGTCTCAATTACTGCAGCATGTTTCTTTGGCCTTGACAAATGTGATTTTGGCCTCTTCATGCGTGTTAAGGAGTGCAGCTGAAGGATTACTTTCTTAGCCTGGCATTTAGAGTAGCCCGAGTGTTTGCATCCTTTCACTGAAAGTAAAAGCAGCTTGTTTGAAGTGATACAGAAAAGAGGAAAAAGTGCATTATGATTTGCCTATAATAGATCTTATCGCTACTTGGGTACTACAGAAATGTGAATCCCATTTCTGATGGTCCATTGCTGCCTATTTCTTTTAACAAGATAATTGAATAAGCCCACATATGCTCTCTCCAGTGGTGCTGTGCATGCCCGAGATGAATTGCCCATAAACATCTACCTGACAGCATCTTTCAGATTTCCTGTTTGGTTGCTGGATTTCTTTTTCGGGTTTTTTATTTGTTTTGTTTTGGATTGTGTGATGACTCCAAAAGCTGTTTATGTGGTTATTTTCTGGAATGCAGACCTATATGTTTGACTATTTATTCCCTCATCTCTACATCACTTTATATTTAGATTGTAAGCTCTTTGAGGGCAGGATAGGCTTCAATTCCCATTGGCACAGTGGGTCACAGACTGGGGATTCCATATGCTATGCTAATAAAAATAAGTGATTATTACTTTTTTTTCTTAAATACAGTTCATAGAGGGGCCATTTGAAGAGTATTTAAAATGTTTGGAAAATCCACAGGTATGTTAAACTTGATTTATAATAGAAAGCAGTACTTTTGTTGAAGTTGATGGGTAATTGGATTTTTTTTTCTCACAAATGTGTTTGAGCTTAAGAGCTCTTTGAATTATGTGACTATATACTTTTATGTGTGTGCTCTCTATTGTAAAATGATTTGGGGAATTTTTTGTGTGTCTTGATTTAACCTGTTATTCTTTAAAACTGTATCCAAACATTTCTAGCCTCTGCAAATGCCAAGAAACATAGCATGGCTAGCTTTTTCTTGAAGACAGCCTTGAATAAAGATCTAAAAGTTTAGGTGATGAAAAGACAGTTACTCATATAAGGGATATTATGAACAGTAGCCACAGACTCTTACGAAGATACTGATTTGAAGCAAAATTATTATTCCCCCCCCCCCAATTTAATTTTAGTATTTTTATTAGGGAGTTAACAATTTGTGTAAACTGGGGGGGGGGAAGGACTATCTAGTGCAACATTGCAAAATCTGGTAATTTTTTTTAAGTGCTTGTGCGGAAGTTTTATTAAATTTTCCCCTCCTAGAAATCAAAGCATGATTTTTCTTTTTTTTTTCTTTGTTCCCCAGTCATGCCTACAGCATCCTTAGTTAGAATGGCTAACCAGATGGTTCTTTATTTTAGTTTCCAAGATGAATGGTGGAAGGAGGAAAAAAGTGGGTGTTAGCCTATTCTGCTTCTGTCTTGCTTTGTTTATTCCAGGATTTTTAATTGCAAAGCTTTGTTAGTCAAATCCTGAGGTTATATGCTATGCTAAATGGTAAATCATGCCATTTTCCAGTAGAACTTACTCTGCACTGAACTACACCAATGTGAATGGTTTACAGCACTGCACTGTGTGTATAGAAAATGTCTTTTTTCGTACATGTCTACTAATGTTTAAAAAAATCTTTCTGAAAAATAAAACATACAGCAGCTTTTTTACATGATCAGAGAAATTAATATTAAGTTATTCTATATTTGAAAATTGTCTTGAGAATGTAAAAAATGATTAAAAAAAAATTGAACTGCTACAAATTTGTGCCCCAAACTTAATTTCAGTTGTTTTTAATTTAGTAAGAATTTAAGAAAGAAAAAAAAAAAGGTAGGAAAAAAGGCGGGGGGGGAATCTAGTCATCATACTGGAGCACAGTACAGTGGTTAGGCTGGTAATGGAAGAAACAACTTTTACTTTTCTATGATTTGAGTCTGGGTAATGGTTTTACTGACATTTCACTGTTTAACAGCTTTAAAGGGCAGATTTTTGGTTTCTCTTCAGGTATTGATGTGCAGCTGCTTGCATGAGAAATGCAACTAGCTATCACAAGTTTATTTTGGCTGTTTGGAAGTGGTCTGTCTACTTTGTGTGGGAGCACTTCATAAGACCGTGTCAAGATATTTGTATGGAAGTTATCTGTGTTTTAGACGTGAGAGTTAAGCCTCAAGATTCTTTTTCCAGTTTTATCTATAGCTAAAGGTCCACAAAACCAGACAGTTTTGAAGGTAGAGAGTAACATTTTTAAAAGCACTTGATAAATCTGACACTCACTTTTTTTAAAAATCACTTTTGAAAATCTAGACTGCTGGTCGTTTAAGTTTAACAAAAGAAAAAAATACCCTGCTATCACCTTTCAAAATCATACTCTTGAATGATAGATCTGTATTTATGTGATTTGTTTTTAGTTCTCTCAGTTTTCATACAGATCAGTTTCTTCTTTGGGAAAAAAATCCGCCTAGCTTGTAACCTTTAACATTATTGGAATAGTTATTGTTATTTCAAAAAACCTTCAAAACCAGTCAAAGTATCTTGGTGGAACTCTAGAGTCAGTGGTGTGGGTTTTTTTTTTGATGATGATGATTTCTTGCTTCTCTTGATCTACACATAAGGTAGTATAATAATTGTGTTTGAATTTAATTTTCTTTTGTTTTTTTTTTTCAATACAGGAATGGGTTGGACAAGTAGAAATAAGTGCCCTTTCTCTTATGTACAAGTAAGAAAACCTTTAAATATGTTTTAATGAGATCAGTTCAGTTGTTTTGTTAGTTAATCAGTTGGAATAGCAAAGATGGAATTATATGTTTTACCATAGTTCTCCAGAAAATTACAAATATGCTTTGAAAATTGCAGCTGTCAAGCTATTAAATAAAAATAGAAAAGTGAGCTTTGAAAATGACATTTAATCTGGGATTTGAATAGAGGTTTGCAATAATGTCATGCATCTCACCTGCACAACTAGTTGTGGGTAGAGTCATACAGTTTGTATTTAATTAATTTTCATATCTTAATTTTTTGTTAAAATTGCTTTTCTTCCTATTTCTCACCAAGGCTTTAATATTAACCCTCTTGCTAAGCTGTGGGCTGTATCCATTTCTTTATTACCTCTGTATAAATGCTCTGACGTAGCTTAGCGATACGAGTATTGTGGGCTATATGCTAGAAAGCCGTTCTCACACCTCCCCTGGTATGAAGTTGTATGTACTGGTATAAGACTACCTGGTGTACTGCTGTAGCTTATTCTCTTTTCTGTGTAAACTTTCCTTTTTCCACTGTATCAGTATAGATGAAATAGTACGAGTTTGTCAAGGGCCATAGCTTGAGCTATGCTTAAGAAATATTTTGATATTTGTGCATAGACAAACACTTCTCTTGGTGATGAACAGTTTTGCTGATGTGTTTTTATTACATATAATCTTATATATTAATCTTTCTTCACAAAGTAGTATGAAACTATATGCTGAATATTTATAACTGCTTTTTAATTACTGTGTAAGGGAATAAGCAATGTACAGCATCTTCTCTTTCTGCTGTTTGTAAACCAGTTTAAAAAGTCAGTATTTAAAAATGCTTGCTGTAAATTGATTACTTCCTTTGTACTTTGGCTTTTGATGCTACAGTTGATAAGAGGAAAAAACCAAACTAATTAAATTACTTTCAGATACTTATCTAAGTGCTAAGTGCGGGAAATTGCATGAAATTCTATGTTAGCATTTTATGTGGTTAATGGGACATTTAGAGTTGCATGTGCTACATGGGTGGAAGAGGACTGAACTGAAAGTCAGAGTAAGGTTTGGCTCAAGAGACTTAGAGAAAAGGTCTGATGGCTAGATTGAGCCAGGGTGTAGAGGGATGTAACTCAATTTAAGTCAACAAAATTGCGTGCTTGATTGGAACGGGATGGTCGTGATCTGTTTGTTGTATTTCTGGCCATGAGAAATGTATTCTTCAATATAAGCAGTTTATTTTGAAATCATGATACATTGGTATCCAGGACCACAGCTGATAAATGAATACAGAGACAAATCCTGGTTGATAATAGTGTTTTTTTAATTTCCCTTGGAAGCATGAGGAGGCTTGTGGCATAGTTGCAAATATATGTAGTATTTCACTGCAGAGTTGAACACCCAAAAATTGTACTGCCATACTTGTTTTGGGAAGACTGGCTTCCATTAAAAATGCAATTTAGCGGCTCTGGGAAAGTAGAAATGATGATGGAGGTGGGGGAGAGAGTTGCTTCCCTTCCTGCATGCTGGCAGACTGAAGGAAAACAGAAGTATGAGTTTCCTGTTTGTGCCATGTAGAGAAGTGAGAGAGTTTCAGACTTCTCAAGCACAGGATAGAAATGCAGTGTGAATAGGTTTGTTTTCATTTCCACTCCTCAGATCTGCCGCAAGTATAATTTTGTTATCTAGTGAATTTTCCTTGCCTCCCTGAAGTGGATAGGTCCCTGAGCTATAAAATTCTCTTCCTCTCAGAACTGCTTTTTCTGAGTTGTTGTAGAAAGCTGTGGGGTTTTTTTTTAATCCAACACTTGCACCTGTGAATATGCTTAATCATTTTGCAAGACTAATTAAACTTTTGCTTGTGTGAGCAAGTAATAAGTTGAAGGAAGTGATAGGTTGCTGAGCAAAGAATTCAAAGGGAGGATTATGGATAAAAGAGAAAATAATTAAATTTAAGATCATGACAGAGATGGGTTATAGCAGAAAAACAAGTAGCTAAGATTGATAGTCTTTCATTTTCTAGAAAATAAAAAACCAAATAGCATGTCATGTCAGTATCAGTTGTGGATTTTCCTGTATTTGTCACTTTATATCCAGTTCAACTTCTTAAGCTTTTTAGCCTAACAAGATAAAAAAAGAACTACAAGTGTGGAGTGTAAATTCTAAATTTGCTTAACTGTAGTAGTTCAATTCTTCATTTATGGTATTTTTAATCCTCTTAAATGTAATGAGGTACCAAAACTTAATTTGCAGTGATAAAAATTTTCTAAACCTGTTTTGGAAGACTATGCTGGGCTGATACCCTTGATGATGAGTATCTGCCAACACTGCAACAGCACATTATCTGCTGGTTCGGTCCAAGCTTCCCAAAAAGTTTGTTTCCATTCTCTGAGTTGAAGAGGCAGCAGAGGGGTTTCTTTGCCACTTTAAATCCAGCAATTTGAGTCTAACAACCACAACATGGTGTTCAACTCCACACTTGCTGGAGTCTTTATCCAAAGAGAAAGGGAAACTGAGCCTTCTGAATGTCTTTTTTGCAATGTGTTATCCATTTTAAAATACAGGAAAAGATTGTTCTCGTTACACATGAAAAAACTGAGACATACGGAGGGCATGATTTTCAGAGGTGCTGGAGACTTGGTTACAATATCTGATCCTCAGGCAATGCCCGCTGGTGATCTCTTGGGCTTTTGGCATGCTCCTTAGCATGTTGTGGCAGCTGGGCCACCGTTTGGGAGCAGAAACTTTGTGTGAACCCTTCTGAGCACGAGAACTTGGTTTGGGAGGCAAGAAGAGTTTCTTGGGCTGTTCTGTTAGCTGGCCTCTCTGCCCAAAAGAGTTCTCGCATGCGTGTAATCAATCTGCTAGTACAGATTTAGCCTAAGCCATTGCTCACCTTCTGGAAGCTTATCACTGTTTCCTGTCTCTGTTCATAAAACCAACCTCCTCTTTGTTCTGGTGGGTTTCCAAATGGCAAAGTATAATGAATTTCTCTAGGACTGGGGAGCTATCATCTTTCTAGACACAGCTCCAGAAAGCGGTGTCTGGAAATTTGTTTTACTTGTCACTGGCTCTGTGCGTGTTGTGCCAGCACATCTTATTCTAGTATATTCTTTCATAAAAGTAAGCCTTTTTTTTGACCAGTGGTAGGTGTACTCATCATCTTCAGTATTCTTTTCCACTGAGTGTTTTTCTGTGGTTATGTATTTTCCTTGAACTTGACCTGAATATTCCAATTTTATTGATACTAATTTTTAATTCTTAACTGCTACTTTTTTCTCAGGAAAGATTTCATAATATACCAGGAACCAAATGCTTCTCCTTCACGTGTAACTGAAAATGGCTTTTCTGATAAGGTAAAAAAAAAAAAATTATGGCTATTGTGAAAGGCTGAATTAAGACTGCTTTATAAACAGCAAATAGTTTCATGTGAGTTTTATTATTCAACACAATGAAATGTTCTGAGAATGCAATTTTAACAATTTCTTTTGTACATATTTAAGGCAGCTATTCTGTTAATACATGTAGACTTCTTTTTAAATAGATGGTCCATGTTTGGGGTGTGTATATCTTCTTAGTAATCTAAAACTGTGTAAAAAGTAATTTGCAAGCGCTAACTCACATAGCTACTTCTGTCTTAAATTTTTGTTGACTTTCAGTCAAATTCTTGTTGGTTTAAAGGACATCCACTAAACACTTTGATCATTTTATTGATACTTTGAGATCCTGAGAGATAACAAAGCACATTGGTACATTAAATTGAATTTAAAAGGTAGTGCTCATATGAAAAATCAAGTGAGATGCAAAACCTAAAATATCTGTGTGGTTTTTTTTAATAGGTATTGCTGTGCTTCTCAAATGGAAACCACTATGATATTGTTTATCCCATAGAGTATTCAGAAAAGGCTGCTCTGTGTCAGTGTAAGTATTATGTTGGTTAGTTAAAAGCACGAATTTTTACCAAAAATCTTAAAATGATCACCATCAGGTTTCAGGAAAAGGCTCTGCATGAGAGTTATTACAGTCATTCTTCAGTAGCCTAGTTTTCATTTGAATTGTCAATGACTGTATGATTTTGCGAGAGCGTGAATTCTTATTGTGTCCTGATTCTTGACAAAGCAGATTATATACCAAGAGGAGAAGACTTATCTGCCTCTTTGAATCTGGGTGGTCTAATGTAAACAGAAAATGTTGGTGTACTAATTTATAATCTGTTGCATTGTCTTCGGTCAGCATTCTAGTTTTAATTTTGTGTTTCAGACTATGTTAGCAAACTAATTGTTTATGTTAAAATTATCCTTGCATGTGTAACTTGTCACAAAAATCATGGGGGTTGCATGTGCAAAAAAAACCTGTCTTCATGGATTGTTGTTTTCTTTACTAGATTGCAGAAATGCCCAAAGGCCCTAATCAGGTTTGATGGGTCACTGTGACGCTCTGTACAAGGATTCTCATTCTTCATGAAAACTCTGCCTATGTGCGGAGTTACAAGGCTAAGGCCAAATTTGCCTGTCAAGAGACCTGATTTCTAGTAGTTTCATGCATACCCATTAAGCCATAGTAGCTGCAGCTGGTTTTATCATAGAATCGTAGAATAGTTGGGTTGGAAG